AGCTCGGGGGGGAAAGGCTAGTACACAAACCTTTCCATATTGCAGGAGAAGGGGGAGAGGCAAACTGCTCTGCCCCGCCTCTTCCCCAAGTCTGCCGCTCGTTAGTTTCAGCAGCGGCGGACTTGAGGAAGCGTCAGGGCAGAGCAGCTGGGGTGCTGCTGGGTTGGTCCCGCAGTGCCGCCCTTTGCCTGGCCACCTCTCCTCCGCCGCCGCTTGCAGCCCCAGCTGGCCTGTAGCAGGTGGCTGCGTGGGGCTTTCCACTGCCTCCCTGCAAAACGGTGGAGGGTTCGCCCCTCACCACCCCCAACCCCTAGCTGGCCGCAGTGCAGGTCCCGGCAGACCTGTCATGGGTAAAATCACCTTCTCCTCTCTTCCCCTTCCCTTTCCCAGCCCAGCTCGTGAGCGTGCGTGGGGCTCACAGGAGCTCCAATTGTCTGGCTGGCTGGAGCACTTCTGGGTTGCAGTTGGTGCTGGACTATCAGGAGTGCCAGACCACTCGATGCCAGACAATTAGAGTTTTACTGTATTTCTGTTTCCTTGGTTGCAGGTTAATTTGAGTTGTCAGTTTCTCATATAATCAACTTCCTCAGTTGCAAGATAGTTGTTTTATGAACGTAAGATACTACATCTACAACAGTGTCCCAACCAAGCATGTTAGTTTATTGAAAAATCTCTGTGTGCAAAATCTTTGCAGGTATATGGTATGTGGTATATTTTACCATGAGTGAGTGCAACAGTCAGAGCTCAGTTTTTCAGTAGTTCTTCTATATAAGAGATAAAGATGCATTCTTGGATTGCCATGCAATCCCATTGGATTATTTTCTGCTTTAATAAGTTTTAAAGCATTTCATTATTTGATAACTATAGCAGTGCTTCAGCTAATACAGGATTCCTCAAGGAAGCCTGATGTACAGGCAGTCCCCGGGTTACATGGATCCGACTTACATCCGATCCCTACTTACAAACGGGGTGAGGCAACCCCGCACTAGCTGCTTTCCCCCAGCAGACCAGGGAGACGCGAAGCTAGCGCCCCCCCCAGCAGACCAGGCAGACGCGGAGCGGCTTTTCTCAGCAGACACCTCAGCTTGAGAATAAAGGACTGAGGGAAGTGAGGTGTGGGAGAATAAAACTGAGCTCTGGAGAAATGTTTGGCTAGAGTTTCCCCTACAATATGTACCAGTTCCGACTTACATACAAATTCAACTTAAGAACAAACCTACAGTCCCTATCTTGTACGTAACCCGGGGACTGCCTGTATTTATACTTTTAGTAAACTTTATTTAATTCATGGAAAAAAGTTTCATCAGTGGCAAGATGATATCTCTTACAAAAGTTAAGTCTCTGGCCCAGATTATGACTAAGCAAAGTAAGAACAAATAATTTAAAATCGTTCTCCCATCAGAAAAAAAGGATAGTGGTTTACATTTAATTACCTTTAATGTGGAGAGGTCTCCTGCAAAGTTCTGCAATATTTTATTTTTAAATTTATACTGGCTCAGTCATCTCATTGGCAATCAATGAATTACAAACTTTTAATTCAATTTTAGATAATAGTGAGGACCTCTGCACAGTGTTGATACTCTGGACAGTGTCTTCTGTTTTTTTATGTGCAAGAAAAGGACAAGAAAGACTTTAGCAACTCACTGTATTGGAGTATTTCCATAGATAATTTTTGAACAAAGGAACTGAAGCCTTTGTTCTGTTCCTGGCAAAATATTAGTTACATGACATGGAAAATATGATGTATTGTGGGATCAACAGTGTCCAAATTAGAGGATAATGTAAAAGATAGCATTGCAAACAAGGCCTTAGTGTTAGTGTTATCATAGTGCCTAGGCCCCAGGTATGGACCTATATTCCTTTTTGTTAGATTGCTATGCAAACAGGAGAAAGTACTTAGGACTGAAACATTAATTCACTGTATCAGTTAAATTTCATAAAATATGCTGTGATATTTTTTTCTTTATACCTAAAATGGAGAAAGAAAATAAACTGTTAAATTTAACTGTGTGCAAGAATTAACTTCCTTTTAAACTTGTAATTGGTTTAGAGGAGAGATGGTGTTGGATCAAATGGATTGGAAAAAGGATTTAAAGGAACGTATCCCTTCAAGGAGCTTAGTAGGGGAGTTTGGGGCCTCCTACATCTGGGAGTGCAGGAGTCTACTCCACTTACTGTCGCACTGTTCAACTACATCCATTGCTTCTTGTCTGTCTTCTGGTAGCAACAGGCAAATTATTTGCTGTTTGTAGGGCCAGTGTTTTCCCTCCTCTGAATATTGGTATATATAGCTCTGAAGAAAGTCTTGCTAAAATTGTTTGGAAATTAGTCTATCTGCTCTGAAAAGTTACCATATTCATGGAATTTTAGGGTTCCACGTCTGCTGTTGCTAGCTGATTTCTTTTATGACATGTTCAGTTTACCAGTAAAACTATACAAGTTGAACCTCTCTGGTCCGGCGCTCTGGGTTTTGCACGGGTCAGGTCCCAAAGAGTTTGCTGAACCATGGGAGGTTAATATGGCCGAGCAGCACTACCATCACTTCCATTGCTTACTGGGTTCTTTGAAGACATTTGGGGTGAACTAGAGCTAAAGAACAGTACAGAGCACTGAGAACCAGGACTAGTGGCTGTAAACCAATTTTTACAGGACTGTGCATAACTTGACCACATCCCTTCCCCCATTTCCCTACTGCCTCTCCTCCTCTTCCTCCCCCCCTGCCCCCCTTCCCCCACCTAGGGTTGTCAGGTGTCTTGTTTTGAACCGGACAGTCTGGTATTTGAGG